AAAAAAAAAAAAAAAAAAAAAAAAAAAAGAGAAAAAGTAAAAATACTTTAGCATAAGCGTTATTTAAGCCTTGTTGAAGAATGCTAAATTTAAAAATAAACGTCTTCAGATAATTTAAAATACAAAAAAAAACAAAACCAATAAAAAATTTTGAAAACGCAATTTTTTAGTGACTTTCTATTGATAATTTTTTGTTGCAGCAAACAAAAAAGAAAGCTTATGCAAACGGCTTGCATAAAAGTAATTTTTGAGAATCAAGAAGTTAATTGCCATTCTAGGCAGCCTTTACCAAGGCAGCCACAGAAATGGAAGCAGTTACTGAATGAGTTCTTTTCCAGTACTTCCACTAGTGCATCATTTCTTCCATAAAAGTTGCAAATTCTGCACTAAGGAAAAGAAAAGCCTTATAAGTTTTATGGCTTATTCTAACTGCAATAAAGTGTTTGTTTTTTTACTTGTCAAAGCAACTGTGTAGAATGGCACACCTTCTGAAAGAATTTGGTTCTAAAACACCTATAAAAATTATAATAAAGGATTTCCCTTTTTACGTGGGTTATCACTCTCGAGAATAGAATTGAGAAGCAATGGAAGCCCACAACCAGCACACAGTATCTAAGCAATTTATTCAACAAACAGCGGTAACAAGCAAGCTAAGGAACAATACAATAGCAATCACGACCTACTACCTGTTTACGACGATCTGCGCCGATCGATACATACAAAGACAGCTCCTCTTAGAGGAGACGCATGTTATACCAACATTGGTTAAGAGAGCGAAATGCAGGCTTTTTTAGTAAAAGCGTTGTTGAGCATTAAGCCTAAATAATTTTCAACACAAAGGTAAAAGAAAGGAGTGAATCTGCATAATTTCGAAGCTCGTTGTGACGCCAACACCTATTCAAATAACTTTTTTAAATGCTTATCCTTTCAAAACAAGATTCAGATAAAACAGTTTATCTTTTAGAAGGTAGTTCTTGAAAGTTGTTTAAAATTGGCAAAAAGATTTTCCTTTGAAGAAAGATTGAAGTACACGAGGAAGACAGCCAGTCCAGCGATCACTAAAAACACCGCTGTCACCAAATTAAAGAAACGGTGACGTCACAAATGAAAAAAAAATACAGTTAGAAGCAAATAAACGTAGTAATGGAAACAATATCATCTGGTAAATTATACTGAAGTTGAATGCAGCGAATCGCTAAAATTCTAAGAAGTTTTGCTACTTACTTTGGTTCCACTTGAAGTATAGTTAAATTCTTCGCAAAATCTTTTCTCTTCCTTGAAGTGATTTTCTATACGAATTCACATTGAAATTGAATTTTAAAATGACATTTGATTTACTTACTGTAATTGCAGTTCTCTGCATTTTCAGTCACAGCTTCTTCATTTCGCAAGTTTTTCCCAATTTTTTTTGCCTCTCTATCCGGCTTCTCTATTAAAAGTTTTACTTCAGGTTGCATATCTAGAAACTGATCGATTAACAAGTTACGCTGACCATGAAACCGTGAACAGTTTTGAAATATTACGGAAAAAATGTCTAGCAAATACAGCGCAAAGCATATCAAACAATAAGAGGCAAAAAACCAACAGTTGAATGGCACAGAAACTAAGACAAAAAAGAAAAGAATAAAATTTACTGCAAAGAGTGAGGAACTTTTCTAAAAAAGCACCAAAATAATCTCTGCAAGATGTTAATTAACTCATCTTTTGTTTTTTTCCTTCATTTTTACACTTTTTACTCTGATTAGTTACTTCTTTGTGAGCATTCCAAAAAAGTGAGCTTTTATTCGTCCTACCAAAATTGCTATTTTTTTAAGTGAAGAAACACGTATATGTGTCAAAAGTCCGTTTAAACAGGAACAACAGCGCTGTTGTCTTGAAAACTTAAAAATAGAACTCCCGATTAACAACGGCTACAAGCAGCATCAAATAAACGAGTCACGAAATCAAGAACTGTACCCAAATATTACGATTAGTTTACCACAGTTCCACTCATGGCGAAATGGTTTTGCAGCAAAAGCGAAAAAGTATTTTGTGGTGTGATTTAGGAATTAAAACGTCTCCTTCATTCCTCTCATTTTTTACCATTCTGTGTTGAAACGTTCTAACAGCAGAATGATCTATTAGACTAAAGACAATCCTTTAATGAATTCCAGTTCACCCTAAGTTGGTGAAGATACAGCAAATCTCCAGTAAAAATTTTTGTTACATCATTTTTCTTTCACAGTCGAACTGTTAATGGGCAATTTACAGAAGCAGCACGGGTTGTTCGGGCACAAAACCGGTATCATTAAGTTTAAAAAGAAGCAATAATAACAGCATTATTGAAAATTAATAATGATAATAATAATATTAATAATAATAATAACAAACTTTAACAGTAAGAACGTCTGCGGCAGCTGTTTTATGAATACAAACAAAAACAGTACCGCAGAAAGCTGCTATA